TTTTTTTTGGATGGATAAAGAGATAGAGGCAACTTCCAAATATTAGAGCAGAAATTTAATATGATCAATTGGATATGTGTACATGGAGCTGAGAGAAGAGGACTTAGCTGGGAAAATAAATGTGTTAGTAGGCTGAAGTTTTGGGTATATTAGATTCTTAGAGCTGCTGTAAAAAAGTACCATAAATGGGGTAGCTTATAGGGACAGGTCATGTTATCAGAAGGGATCAGTTCCTAGAGAAGGATACCGTGTTTGGTAAATCAGAGAAAGAGTCAATGAAAAAAAGGAAGATGCTCAATGAGACAGACTGACACAGTGGCTGCAACAATGGGCTCAAGCACAGCAATGATTGTGAGGATGGCGCAAGAGTGGGAAGTATTTAGTTCTGTTGTACGTAGGGTTGCTATGAGTTAGAGCTGACTCCATGGCAGCTAACAGTAACAACATAAGAAGAGAAATGTATTGTCTCAGTCACTGCCATCGAGTTGAATCTGACTCATAGCAACCCCTCCTTGGGTTTCTGAGGCAGAATCTCTATGGAAGTAGATTGACTAGTCTTCCTTCCGAGGAGTGGCTGGTGGTTTTGAACCACCAGCCTTCTGGTTAGGAGTCAAATGGCTTAGGTACTACACTACCAGAGCTCCCAAGAGTTCTGGAGCTAAAAGCCCAAATTCAGGATGGCAGCAGAGCCACATTCTCTCTGAAGACTCTAGGAAGGGTCTTTGTTTCTTCTAGCTTCTGTGGCCACAGGATTCCTTGCTTTACTGCTTTAACCTAACTCTGTAATCACCTGGTCATGCAGTCTTTCTTCTGTCTGTCTCTGTGTCACTTTTCCTCTTTTATAAGGACACTACTCAGATCAGATAAGGACCAACTCTGTATGTTTGGGGACCATTTGGGGGCATACAATTCAATGGCAATGGAAACCATAGGCATGTGGTCAATCCTCTTGGGGAAGAATACGGAATAGTAAGAATCTATGAGGACCTAAGACTGAGCCCTATGCAGTTCTATTTACTGTTGGATGAAGGGAAGTGAATCTGCAAAGGACACTGGGAAGTTGAAGTCAGAGAGGCAGAAGGAAAACATGAAGAGTTTTTTGTCATGGAAGTCAAAAGGAAAACATGTTTTAAGAGTAGGGAGGAGTCAGCATTGTCAGGTGCACCTGACAGGTCAAGGATGGTGTGGACTGAGAATATCTGTGGAATTGACAAAAAGACCTGCTGGTGGTCTGAGGGAAGATGCTTCTGTGGGGTACTGGGGTGGAGAACAGGTTGGAATAGATTGAACATGAGGGAGAGGTGAAGAAAAGGGGAGCTCGAGAGTAGAAGTCTCTGTGGATCTCAGCCATGAAGGAGGGACAAGATACAGGATGGACATTGGAGACCCATGTGAGGTCAAAGGGAGACTTTTCATGAGGCCAATTTCCACTTTTATCCCATTGGTAAAAGCCAATGAGAAAGAGACATTTAAATGAAAAGGATTCAGTAGCGACAAAAGAGAGAAATGATAATAAAATGATAACAACAACAACTAGTATTTATTGAGCAGGAACCCCAT